GCGACCCCGGGTACAGAGAACGCCAGGCCAGGAAAGAGGACAGAGGCCACGGGCGGGCAGTGTCCACGCAGAACGCGACCCCAGGTACAGAGAACGCCAGGCAAGGAAACAGGACAGAGGCCACGGGCGGGCAGTGTCCACGCAGACGGCGACCCCGGGTACAGAGAACGCCAGGCCAGGAAAGAGGACAGCAGGCGGAAAGTGTCCACGGGGCCAGGATGGTCTTCCTGACCATGATGCGTCAGCACAGCCTAGAACTGTGATGCCCAACAGCTGCCACCAGCTATGCGGTGGCAGTTCAAAAGCAAAATTAAATAAAATTAAAACACCATGTCCTCAGTCATACTAAGCACATTTTAAACACTCAGGGCTGAGTGAGGAGGCTCACGCCTGTATTCCCAACACTTTGGGAGGCTGAGGCGGGCAGATCACTTGAGGTCAGGAGTTTCAGACCATCCTGGCCAACATGTTAAAACCCTGTCTCTACTAAAAATACAAAAATGAGCCACGCATGGTGGCACGTGCCTGTAATCCCAGCTACTCAGGAGGGTGAGGCAGGAGAATCCCTTGAACCCGGGAGGCAAAGGTGGCAGTGAGCTGTGATTGTGCCACTGCACTCCAGCCTGGGCAACAGAGTGAGACTCTGTCTCCACAAAATATAAAAGAAACGTTCAGCAGCCACATGGTGTAGTGACTATCAAATCAGACAGTGATTCCCATTATGAAGCCCTATTCCAGAGCTGCTGGAATCTGAAAGAGCTGATCAGTTGGGGGCCAGGGATCCCCACCACATAGCTCATACTTGTAATCCTAGCACTTTGGGAGGCAAAGGTGGGTGGATAGCTTGGGCCCAGGAGTTCAAGACCAGCCTAGGCAAGATAGGAAGACCCCATCCCTACAAAAGCAGAAAAACTAGCCAGGCAAGGGGCCTGCAGCTGTAGTCCCAGCTACTCAGGCTCGGGTGGGAGTACTGCTTGAGCCTGGGAGGGAGCTGTGACCTCACCATTGCACTGCACTGTGCTCCATCCTAGGAACAGAGCAAGACCCTGTCTCAACAAACAAAAAAATTCAGTAGTACATGTCACTGAGACCGCGGCCGAAAAGGATGCTTTGGAAGGACACCGTGGTCACTCAAGGGCTCTGTCCGGGCCCTGCTGGCCTGTCATGAACCAGGCCAAGACTCACACTGGCAGGTATGGGGGAGTCAGGCTGAGCCAGAGAAAATATCTGGGAGCTGTAGGCACTGAGACAGGAAGCCGTGCACTGCATGAGGCTCTGGAACTTTCCAGCGTGGAAAGTGAGATGCAAGAGGAAGCATGTGTCTTCTAGCACCTTGCTGTAGTTGTTCATGCCTTCTGTCTGTACGAGTCCTTCCCCAGCCCACAAAGCCCAGTTCCCATCTCCCCAGACATGGCAAGCAAATGCAGAATGCCTGCTTCAGTGAGGAAAGGCTGGGCTCAACTCCCGGTTCTATTTCAAGTTATTTATTTAGTTATTTTTGAGACGGGGTCTTGCTCTGTGACCCAGGCTGGAGTGCAGTGGTGCGATCTCGGCCCACTACAGCCTCCACCTCCCAGGTTCGGGCGATTCTCCTGCTCAGCCTCCCAAGTAGCTGGGATTACAGGTGACTGCCATCATGCCTGGCTAGTTTTTGTATTTTTAGTAGAGACGGGGTTTTGCCATGTTGATCAGGCTGGTCTTGAATTCCTGACCTCAAGTGATCCGCCTGCCTCAGCCTCCCAAAGTGCTGGGATTACAGGCATGAGCCACCATGCCCGGCCTACTTCTTTTTTTTTTTTTTTGAGACAGAGTCTCGTTCTGTCACCAGGCTGAGTGCAGTGGCGGGATCTCTGCTCACTGCAACCTCCATCTCCCAGGTTCAAGTGATTCTCCTGCCTCAGCCTCCCAGGTAGCTGGGACTATAGGCGTGTGCCACCACGTCCAGCTGATTTTTGTATTTTTAGTAGAGATGGGGTTTCACCATGTTGGCCAGAATGGCCTTGATCTCTTGATCTTGTGATTACCCCGCCATGTCCTCCCAAAGTGTTGGGATTACAGGCATGAGGCACTGTGCCTGGCCTCAAGTTCTTCAACCTCAGAGTGAATCTGTTTCCTTAAAAAGGCCTAAGAAATTCAGAATGTTGTATTGATTTTTTAAAAAAGAATACAACTCCAGGCACGGTGGCTCATGCCTATAATCCCAGCACTTTGGGAGACGGAGGTGGGCAGATCACAAGGTTAGGAGTTTGAGACCAGCCTGGCCAATATGGTCAAACCCTGTCTCTACTAAAAATACAAAAGTTAGCCAGGCATGGTGGTGGGCGCCTGTAGTCCCAGCTACTCAGGAGGCTGAGGCAGGAGAATCGCTTGAACCCACTCCAGCCTGGATGACAGAGCGAGACTCCGTCTCAAAAGAAAGAAAGAAAAAAAAAGAATGTAACTCCAGTTATCTTTTTTTTGAGAAAAACATTAGACAAATCTCAACTGAGGGACCTTCTATGAAATACCTGAGAATGAGATGCCTTAAAACAGTCATGATCATCAAAACAAGTCTGAGAAATTGTCACAGCTAAAATGTGCCTAAGGGCTGGGTATGGTAGTTCACGCCTGTAATCACAGCATTTTGGGAGGCCGAGGTTGGTGGATCGCGTGGTCAGCAGTTCCAGACTAGCCTAACATGGTGGAACCCCATCTCTACTAAAAACACAAAAATTAGCCGGGCATGCTGGTGCATGCCTGTAATCCCAGCTACTCAGGAGGCTGAGGCAGGAGAATCCCTCAAACCCTGGAGGTGAAGGGTTCACCTGCCATTACACTCCAGCCTGCGTGACAGAGGCTCCATCTCAAAAGAAAAAAAAATGCCTAAGGAAGCATGAAAACTACTTGTTACATGGGTCCTGGAACAGAGAACGGTAGGTTGAGAGCTGAGGAACTCTCAATGAAGCACTGGCTCATTAGTTGTGATATTTATACTGAAGAGGGAGACCCAGCTATCTCAGATCAGCTTCCCCTTTTCATTCCTGAGACTGTAAACTTCCCCTTTTCATTCCTAAGACTGTAAACTGAAACCTTTTCATATGTAATTCCTGAGACTGTAAACTGAGACCCTTTTCATATGTTAAGCTATAAACCGAAGATTCTTCCCCGTGTAACTCTGAAGTATGAGCCTATATAAAGACGGAACCTTCCTTTGTTAGGGGAGCTTGGCTGTTAGGCAACTACCACCTTGCTCCTGGCCCAATAAGCCCTCCTTCCTCCTGTATTAGTGTCCCAGAGATCCGTTTCCCGTGGCCGCTCCTGCTACATTTTGGTGCGTTGGCCGGGAAGCGAGTCTCTGATAGCAGACGGCAGGAAAAAGTCTCTTAGGTGGTTTGCCTAGCCCGTGGAGCATCCCTTTGGGGGGACTCCTGCTCGCTGGGCTGACACATCCTGAGAGCGCTCCTGGGCAGGTATTTGCCCGGTGGAAAAGCCTCGCCCGAGGAGCAAGGAGGCCCTGCAGTGCGGATCCACCCAGTGGCTGAACACCGAGGAGGAACGAGCATTTGGGGAAGTCTGGACCACTGAATTTGGTAAGATTGAACCTGGGAAAGTAGCCCACCCTGTTTTGGGTGGAAGCGTGGCCTGATCACCCACGGGTGCCAGATGGGCACGTTGGAAGGTAGCTCTCTGTAACCCTCGAAGCTTTTGCTTATGGTTTTGAGTTGGAAGGAGAGCAATCGGATGTGTGTCTGTCTGTGTCCAGCCGGACTCATCAGTCATAAAAGGTATCGGGCCCATTAGGAAGGGCCTCATGCGTCGAGCAGTTTGTAAGAATTACAGACAGCCACGTAAGGCTGAGTGAAGAAGCCTCTGGCGTTGTGAAAGGATTGAAGCGAGTGTAAATCGGAGAGTGCTCTGTGCTGTGTCTTGCTAGGTGGGAACTGCTGTGAGTGAACTAACACTCTCCTAAATGTGGGAATTGTTTCTTTGAAGTGCTAATATGGGTCACTCCCATAGCAAGCCCACCCCTTTAGGAACCATGCTGAAAATTTTCAAGAAGGGATTTAGTGGGAATTATAAAGTAACTATGACACCAGAGAAATCAAGGGCTTTATGTGGGGAAGATTGGCCAGCATTTAGGGTGGGTTGGCTCCCAGAGGGGACCTTAGACAGGCCCCTTGTCTCCAAAGTAAGGCATGAGGTTATATACGGTGAGCTACAACACCTTGATCAATTTCCATACATAGACTGGTGGTTGCAGTTAGTGTTAAACCCTCCGAAGTGGCTAAGAGAGCAGGCAGCAACTGTTTTAGTAGCCAAGGGACAGACTGCCAGAAACCACCGTCCCCCTCACTGCCGAGACACGCAGACTCCCAAGTCCAGGCAAATTCAGTGGCAGAAACAGGCAGGATTTGCAAGTACGAATACTTCAGTTATTGGAAATGGCTAACCAGGCATTTGTAAAGCAAGAGG